GATAAAGATAATAGAAGAAAAAAGTATGAACATAGATAGAAATTTGTTTAATAAAACAAACTATTAGAAGTCAGATCTGGCAGTATGTAGTGGTTTTATTATAGGGATAGCAGTGTTGGTTCAGCATTGGAAGATCCACCCCGGTCCTACTTTTTGAGAAGTCATTCAGCTATGTGTTGTCAAGTCAGGTTAACCAAATTGCACCTCTTCTGTCCTTCAAGAACCTGCAGTTTGTTCTCAGGAACAGACAACTATTCTGGGTATGTATGGGCTTGCCCTTTCTGCCCCAAAGTCCTCAATAATTACTACTATCTGAGTGCTTACAGAATGCCTGATACAAAGGCATATTATTTCACACAATGTAGCATCTTCTAGGAAATTTACTCTGCAGCAAAAATATGCAATATTAGCCTATAAAAATGGATGAATTGCTGGTATCATATGAGGCAACATCTGGATATTCTCTTGGTAAAGCATTAGAATAGGCTTCTGAAAGTATAGCCAATGTGTGAAGCCTCAAAGGGCATCTTCTGCCAGGATGGGGTTCAGTAATCCAGAATGCAGTATACACAATCAGAGACCTTTCTATAGGACTATATACTGGTTAGAACCAAGAGATAGAAGCAAATTGGCCCCATTTAACATCATTGCCAGTGACTGCATGTGCATGGATGGGGATGATAGGTCTGGTGGGTCAGCCATGGTTATCTGCACTGAAGAATGCCCTCCAAACACACTGCCCATGTTACATTGTCCACAGGTGTGCTCCCCCACTATTCTTTTGCAAGCATGAAACCAGCCACTCCAGGTGAGGGCTGATCCCGTGGAAGGAGTTTACAAACATAGGCCACATGCAGTGTCTTCTTTGTCTTGTGCCTGAGTTGACCCAAGAACAAGTAATTATGAGACATGTGGGTAAGGCCAGTATGTGTGTTTGGAGGCTACTGGACATACAATTCAGAAGTCAGTCTAAAAGTCTTTAGTGGGGTACAATCATGAGTGAGAGCCTACTGGCAATGAAGCTAGAGAATAGATCAAGACTTTTAAAAAATTTATTTTTAGGAAATTAACACAGTACATTCACTTTCTCTGTGTATATGCTAATATTTTTACAATGCATAGATATCTATGACCACAAATAGTTCCAATACCTTAATGAATTTCTCACGCATCCCCTTTGTACTGAGAGCCTCCCCTCATCCCAAACTTTTGTGACCACTGATCAATTCTGTTTAATATTTTTGCCTTTTTCAAACTGTCATATATATCGAATCACACAGTATGTAACATTTTGGACTGTTTTTTCCTGTAGCATAATGCACTTGAAATTTATTCATGTTGTATATATCATTAATTTGTTATTTTTATTGCTAAACTGTATTATTCCATTGTGTAAATATACCACGATGCATTCATTTACTCACTGTTGTTCTTTCCAGTTTTGGGTGATTATAGGTGATACCATAACCATGTATGTTCAGTAAGTCCATTCTGGGAGAGCTTACGAATGAGTTCCATTCTGGGAGAACATTCATAAGTCAGATTCTTTTGTAATCTGACAAAGTGAGTCTTATACAGTGCACCTGTGAATCTTATACAGTACACCTGTGAAAGTTCACAACTTGAATGTTCATAAGTCTGGGACTTAACTGCACAGGTTCTTGTGAGAACATAAATTTTCATTTTTCTAGGTTAAATACTTAAACGTGAGATTGTTGGCTCATGGGGAGAGTAAATGTTCAACTTTTTAAGAGACTGACAAATTGTTTTCCAGAGTACCTTTACTATTTTGTATTCCTATTAGCAGTTTGAGAGTTATGGTATTCCTGTTTTGTTTTGTTTTGTTTTTTGAGACAGGGATTCATGATGTAATCCAGGCTGGCCTTAAACTCAAACTCAAAGCCATCTTCCTGCCTCAGCCTTCTGAGTGCTGGGATCACAGGCGTGCAGCACCACAGCCGGCTCCTAGAGTTTTGAATAGCCAAAGATTATAAATGAAAAGTATTTCAAATGGTTAAATATCCCAAGTATATGGTGGACCCCAGTGTAGTGGTCTTTTTTCTTTTTCTTTTTTGCGGTATTTGGGATTGAACTCAGGACCTTCATACTGAGCTACATCCCAAGCACCCCACCCCTGGCCCTGCCAACCCTTTTAAAATTTTGAGACAAGGTCTTACTTTCAGTCTGGGCTCAAACTCATGAACCACCTGCTTCAGCCCTTAGAATGCTGTGGGACCAGCACAGACCACTATGCCTGGTTGGGGCCCATGATTTTTACTGTTGCATATTTCTTGTGAGCCAGGACCTGGCAAGCCTGGCTCTATTGCTGACCAGAAATTTAATGGAGACATTCAAGCACTATCTGGCAAGAAAGGTTCATGTTTGAGATACACAGTACATTGTCTGATACTAGAGACACAGAGTGACTATATATGCTTCTTCATATATATCATCAGAAAATATGTAAGAATTGAGAAACCTTATTTATAGGATAAAGTTGACTTACAATTGGATTGCAAAGCTCTAACATTATCTCTGTGATGCCTGGGTATCTGGATTTGTCTCTGGTTGAGATGAGGGAGTGAGATATACGTGGTACTGTTTAAAATCTGATACTGCAATAGAGATACCTTCACACTAGGCAGTTTGTTTACTAGTGGTTCTCAATTCACATAACCAATTAGATAATTTGGCTTGACTGTAATCACCAAACAGAGAACTTTTGCAAAGAGCTTCTGCCTTAAGCACTCCCAAAGCCAACATTCATGTAGATCTTAGTGGTTCAATCCAGAGACTGTGCAGCCTTTTTGGGAATACAGATACTGAGGAGCTGGTGCCTGGATTATTCTCAGACACCTCCCATGCTTGCCTACCCTGTTTTTGTTGTTGTTGTTTTGTTTTTTTGGTACCAGCGATTGAACTCAGGATCTCCTGCTTGTGAGGCAGGCAGTGGAACCACTGAGCTAAATCCTCAGCCTACCCTGTTTTTGTGGGGTTTTTTGGTACTGGGGATCGAACTCAGGACCTTGCGCTTGTGAGGCAGGCGGCGGAACCACTGAGCTAAATCCCCGGCCTTACCCTGTTTTTGATGAGCCACATCATTTGCTTTTAAATAAAAGCATGACATGAATGTGCTCTGTGGGCTCTTATTTAGTCTTTATAACTGATAGTTATCTTTTCACATATCTTATGACCTTGCAGTTAGGTCTACAAAGTATGAATTGACAAAGTGATTCCTATTCCATTGTATATATCAGGGCTAGAGTTGGATTCTAAAACCATGTTTGCTCCACAGAGATAACCAAACTTAACATAGCAATAGATTGATTAGATGGAAAGTCTTCATTTCATATATTAATTCGTAAAGTGAAAATCCCTAAAAATGAAAAAAAAAAAAAAAGGTCTCAACTTCAACTTCTTCTTTAGAATATAGTCTAACAGTGTTTAATGCCAAAATATAATTACTGGACCAAAAATGCCTAAGAAGCATATTACATGTAAACAGTTATTACAAAACAAAAATTCACTAGCCTTTTAAAAAAATCATTCAGAAGTGCCTCACAGAAGAAGATGGTTGTTCTTAACTCCACTTGATTCAGTGTTTTCTTTTTGCATCTTAATTCATAGGACTTTGTAAGAAATGTCTCTGTACAGAATCCATTTGTTTGTTTTTGGTATTGGGGATTGAATCCAAGGCCTTCACACTGGGCTACATACCCAATCTACTTTTTTTTTTTTTTGAGACAGCGTCTCACTAAGTGGTTAAGTTGTTCTGGCTGGCCTTGAACTTATGATCCTTCTGCTTCTGTCTGTACAGAATCTTTTGGAGACAGACTTATTTCTGCATTATTCACAGCAGATCTGTGGGATCTGTTTTAATTTTTACAAAATTGGAAAGTATGCATTTGCACAGGAAAATTCTTTTAATCAAATTTAATAAGAATGTAACCATTCTTTATTTTTGGTATAAATTCTTTGAAATTTTATAAGAAGTGAGGTATGGCTAAAGTCATTCTCCTACTCATTTGAAGAGTTCCTATCCAATGTGAATTCCCTAATTTTGGGAAAGAGTTGTATAAGCTTTTCCCTATTCAACATTTCTGTATGACCAGCAAGACAAAGGCCATGAATAAAGGCCATATTCCTACTACCCATTCTCCAACTTCAATACTTTCACAGGAGTTGTCTCCAGTTAGAACTCTGATGTTAACCAAGGGAAATGCAGGATGCTTGCCTTTCTCTTGCATAACTTTTTGTTTAATAATAAGGCATCAATGGTGGCTAAAGGCAACCTCACATTTGTTATATTTGATAATATAACAGGAAATATAAAAACAACAATTTTATCAAATTTATTCAATATAAGAAATTGACTGATTTGGGCCAGGGATGTAGCTCAGTGGCACCATGCCTGCCTGGGAAGCACAAGGTCCTGAGTTCAATCCCCAGTACCAAAAAAAAAAGGAATCTACTGGTTGAAATTACGTATGCCCAAGTGACGTTTGGGATAGTATGTAAACAAATGTGTTGCCTGAGTGAAGTGGTTAAGATTTGTGACTAAAAGCCTTTCTATGTGCATTACGTTCACATTCCCAGTTTGCCTAATAACACTGATAGTTTTCCTTTAGTATCAATTCTGTGGTTTGAATCCTCACAATATTGATAATATTCATAGTCATTTTCTTTCAGAATAAATTATTTTATTGTGTGAAAATCCTGAGTTATTTGGCAGTATCTACCAAAGGTGATTGAACATACATATGCCCGGGTCCCAGAAATTCCACCACCTAAGTATATACACAAAACAGTGAATATAAGTACTCCAAAAGACAAGTATGTTCTCAGAAGCATTATTTATTATGACCCTAAGCTGTTAACAATGTAAAAGTCCATCAATAGTAGAATGGATAAATTGTGATACACTAATAGAATTCTATACAGAATGAAAATAAGCTTCTGCCACATGCGTTGATTATGAGACTTAGAGACATAATGAATGACACAAGCTGGATATTGATTGCCTGGTTTTTTTTGGTACCAGGGATTGAACTCGGGTCCTTGCGCTTGCACAGCAGGCTGCAAAACCAGAGCTAAATCCCTGGCCCCGACACAAGCTGCATATTAAAGACTATATGATATATAATCCAATTTATAAAGGTTTTTAATGTGCAAAACTAATTTATAATGTTGGAAATTAAAACTATGAGTAACTTTAAAGAGGTAACAACTGATTCCATATTTGCCATGAGAAATACAAGTTCACCTCCTTTCTTTTAAAGCACTTCTATTCACAGTATAGCCTTGGACCACTGCTGGTTAGCCAACTGCTTATTACAGGTCCACAAAAAGACAAATATTGAATTAGAAATAAACAACGTTGAAAGCATTTTTAAAGCAATTTGACAGAGGAAATTTGAGTATCCTGAATCTAATAACAAAAACGTTAGGATTTTTTTCCCTCAAAGATTCTCATTTAATTTACCCAGAAATGGTGTGTGTGTGGGCAGCAAACAGTAAATATGTAGTATAGTATCTTAAATCATTCAATATTATTATACTTGCAAGCAACACCAGGTACAGGGTTTACTATGACTTAAAAAGTTTTACAAAAATGTTACATCACTTACAGAATTCTCATGCTTTCTACCTTGTGAGTTTTCTGGTGGACAATGAGGTTTGACTTACAACTGAAGAACTTCCCACATTCTTTACATTCATATGGTTTCTCTCCTGTGTGAGTTTTCTGATGACGGATGAGGTTAGATTTCCTACTAAAGGCTTTCCCACACTGAGGACATCCATTGGATTTTTCTCCTGTATGTATTCTGTGGTGAACAGTAAGGATTGCCTTCTGGCGGAAGGATTTCCCACATTCATTACAAATATAGGGTTTTTCCCCTGTGTGAATTCTCTGATGAAGTGTGAGGGTTGTCTTTTGGCAGAAGGATTTCCCACATACATTACAAATATAGGGTTTCTCTCCTGTGTGAGTTCTCTGATGTACTGTGAGGGTTGTCTTCTGGATAAATGCCTTCCCACACTCATTACATTGATATGGTTTCTCGCCCGTGTGAGTTCTTTGATGATCAATGAGGTATGACTTCTTTCTAAAGGCACTTCCACACTGAGTACATTCATAGGCTTTCTCCCCTGTATGTGTCTTGTGATGTCTAGTGAGGGTTGCCTTCTGGCGGAAGGACTTCCCACAATCAAGACAAAGGTAGGGTTTCCCCTCTATATGTGTTTTCTCATGAAGAGTGAGGGCTGTCTTCTGACGGAAGGCTTTTCCACATTGATTGCAAACATAGGGTTTCTCGCCTGTGTGAATTCGCTGATGTTCAATGAGGTATGATTTTCTTCTGAAGCTATTTCCACAGTAAGGACACTGAAAGGGTTTCTCTTCTGTTTGAGATCTTTGATGCATAATAAAAACAGGCTTTCTGCACAGGAATTTCCCATATTTGCTGTATTCAGAGGGCTTCTTTTCTATAAGATTATGGGGATGGACACCCAGCTCACACTTTTCCATGAAACCAATTCCATTTTTATTATATTCAAATGTTCTTTCTCTTTTGTGAGCTCCATTATGTGAAAATAACATTCCTTTCATAAGGAAGGATTTGTCACATTCATTACATTCAAATGGTTGCTCTGGAGTTTGAACTTTCTGCTGTTGAGTAAGCTCTTGTTTACCAGTGAGATTTCTTTCTGTTTGTTTATGGAGATTTACTGCAGGATGGATTTTTTCATGCTTAGTATTGAGGATTGATTTCTGCCATCCATTACTCTCACCAACCTTTTCTTTTACAGGGTTTATATTTCTAATAACTAATTCTGAAATATTTTTCAAAACTTTTCCATCAGATTTATGTTCATATAATGTTTTTGAAATAATATGGTTCTTTCCTAGAGTAAGTGTTTTCCCATAAATATTACTTCTCTCCTTAACTGTTTTTTTGTGATTGATGAATATAACTGATCTAGAATGTATGTCTTGGTATTCTCTGAACTTCATTAAAACAGCTTCAGGCTTCTCATCTTCTAGAAAAGAATATAATTAACAACATTGTAAGTCTTCATATAAGTGAAGAGAAAATGTACAAAACATGAACACAAATCCTACTGCACCATTAAAATGAAGATGGCACGAATAAAAACACTTGTATCTTTGGGATGCTGTAACTATAAGTTGTATGGAGAAGGTAAATAAACCCAAGGACAAGTAAGCAGGAGACAAAAAATGGTGAAAGAGGGGTTGTTCTTGGAAGGGAAGACTCGGACATAATGATGTGACCAGCAAGGGTACTAAACAATAAGCAATGTGACAAGGAATTTATTTAGGCAGAGATGAAATCCCATACGTTTATCCTTTCATGCCTTATTAAGTGGCACAAGATGTTTCCACTCATTTTTATTCAGTTCCATTTAGCTTTCCTTCGCCAATGCACTTTCTCAAATTCATTTCCTAGTGTTTACAGTAACACTGGTCTAGAGTCTAGACCTTACCTGTCCATAGAACTGATTTACTTTCTGTTTAAAGCAGAGAATCAGAAAAACATACTGTAGGTGTTGGGGATTTCATCCCAGGAACAAGAAAGTACTTAAGACAGTCCTTTTAGCAAATTATCAAACCTAAGGGTGGTGTTGGTCCCTAACTTACAGCTGGCATCAGAAGTAAGAGTGATTTTGTGTGGACTACTGCATCCTCAAGCTTCACAGTTGGCTAACAGCACAAGAATATATAGGAAACATATACAGTATCTGCTATATAAGGAAAGGTCCAGCTCTAAGGAATAAAATTAAAAAAATTTTTTTGGGGTACTGGGTATTGAACTCAGGACCTTATGCTTGCAAGGCAGGCACAGCACCACTGAGCTAAATCCCTGGCCCAGGAATAAAATAAATTTTATTCATAAATATATTCATATATTTTTTTCAGTGCTGAGGACTTGACTCAGCAAGCTAAGTAAGTGTTTTACCACTGAACTACACCCCTAGCCCACATTAAGTATATTTAGAAGACTTGAGCAAATAGAGTTCTCAGTCAGAGAAATACATTTGGAATAACTAAAAGGGGTATTATTCTGTCAGCTCTTGAAAAGGAAGGACTTAAATTTCATATAAGAAGTGATATTTTTTAGCATATTGACAATATAAACTGAAAGAATGAAGGAAAAAAATCACTGCAAATCCAAAGAGAAATAGCAGCAATTCACACCTAAAATAATAAGGCTCTCATTTTGGAACAGGTCAGTGGCAAATGAGAATAAAAGCACATGTAATGATATTACAGAGTGAGAAAATATACCACAAATTGTGGAGAGATCAGTAAAGTATGACAGAAATGATGGAACGGATGTGATACTATGGAGGCTGGTTATGAGAATAAAAGAATATAGGAAGGGCTTGGGGATGTAGTTCAGTGGCACCATGTCTCCCTGGCAAGTGCAAGGTCCTGAGTTCAATCCCTGCAAAATAAATAAATGAATAAACAAACAAATAAATAAATAAAGGAACAAATGTGGATAAAAAGGATTATAGGAATAAAAGAATAAGAAAATAAAGGTAAAGATAATTATTATTTCAGATATATTGACAAGAAAAAGATAGGGCAACTGACACTCATATTTCTATAAATTAAAATATGCCACTAGAGAAATGGGTTGAAATGTCTATCTGAAAGCCATTGGCATAAAATAAGGAAATCACAATTTGAAAATGGATCAGATTCTTATAGCTCGCAGGACTTTTATAAAGACAAGAATTGAGGGGCCGGGGATTTAGCTCAGTGCACCGCCTGCCTGGCAAGCGCAAGGACTCAAGTTTGATCCCTGGTACCAAAAAAAAAAAAAAAGAAGACAAGAATTGAGGGTGACAAAAGCTCCTTTTTAAAATGTGGTATATATCTGCTGCCTGCCTCACAAGCACAAGGTCCCGAGTTCAGAGTCTAGAAAAAGACAAAAAGGGCAGGGGATTTAGCTCAGTGGTTCCGCTGCCTGCCTCAAAAGTGCAAGGTCCCGAGTTCAATCCTTGGTACCAAAAAAAAAAAAAAAAGAAAAGAAAAAGAAAAAAAGACAACATGAAAGTAGAAGGGAGGAAGGGGGAAGAGAAGGATAAGGGAAGTTAATGAGGGAAAGGACATGATCAACATATATGTATGTATGACAATGTCACAGTGAGGCCTATTATTCTGTATAATTAATATGTGCTAATAAAAAAGGCTCATTTAGGGTACATTTGATACTCGTGAAAGGCTAATGAAAAAAATTTATGTTTTTCTTCCCAGTTCTGTTTTGAGTGGGTGATTACTTCCTAACTTCCTGGTCTGGAAGTGTTTCTTCCTAGCTCTTTCTTTTGAACGGGAATTCACTGTGTAATTCCCTAGACTAGAAGATTCCTGATTCTGTGAAACCTCTCTGTTCTATTTGATCCTGTTTTTTTCCTATGGAGACTTCTCAGTTGATGGTATATGCTTCCCACATGCTCTGCCAACTCTGTCTCTTTCCTTTCTCATTGGTATAATATGAACATTAGTGGTCTATTTGGGAAATTTAAGATCTCTCTAAACTGGAGCCTATAATACCATTTCTTCTCATTGCTTCCCATTCCTTTCTTTTACCACATTCTCTTTTCCCTTTGGTTCCCCTGAATCCTTTGATATGTTCCCCTTCAAACCTCTACATTTGCCATCCCTCTGTCCACCTGTGGCAGACCTTTCCCTCTCCATTCTAGCCCCTAGAGTTACCTTGGCCCCCTACCCACACTGGAGGCACTCAAAGGACTCAGGGACTCCCAAAAGCAACTGCCTTGCTGAGATGAAAAAGCAAACTAGAAGAAAAACTCTGGACACTGTATCCACTCAATGGGCTTTGGAGACATCCAGAAGGGCACTACGTTTCACCCACATAGGTGCACACTTGTATTTAGCTAAACAATCAAGAGAATTCTTTCTCTGCATAACTCCCTCTTTTTTGGAAATGTGCCCTGCAAGTTCTAACTACTTTAACACTTGAACTCCAATCAGTCCCCGCAAATTGAAAACCCCTGAAATTGCCAAGTTGTTTTTGGATCTCTCTCTGCATTGCAGTCTGTAAGCTACCTTCAGATAAAAGCCTGAAATAAAGTAGGAACCATCTCATCTGTTTCTCATCTCTCATGCTTGTGCTTCCTGTTATTGAATACATGAAAATGATTTTCCTCGGTTTTCTAATTACATCCATAGAAGTATAATTTTAGACTCTATTCCTTCCTCAAAGCTGGAAGGAGAAATCTTGAATTATTAATTTGGGGGTCCAGATGGCTTAATGATAATTTTGATCAAACATTTAAGTAAGCAACAATACCAATCCTACACAACTTATGTAAGAAAACGTTTGAGGGCCGGGGATGTCGCTTGGTGGTGCCGTGTCTGCCTGGCAAGCACAAGGTCCTGAGTTCAATCCCTGGTACCAAAAGAAAAAAAAAAAGAAAAGAGAAAATGTTTGATGAGGAAGTATCCCCAGTTTGTTTGATGTAGCCAATACAACTACTCTAAAAACTTTATAAGGATATTACAAGAAAACTGTAGAGCTCTATCCTTTGTAAAAGCTTACTAAATTATTACCAAACTTACTTCAGCAATCTATAACAAAGATAATGTGTCTTTTCCAAGTGGACAAAGTTCATCCAATATTTACATTGATCAATGTAATACAATGTGGTGACACAGTAAAGAAAAATAATAGCAATCATCTTAATAGATGCAGAAAAGGCATTTGTTACCCTAATACCAAAACCAGAGAAGGACACAACAAAAAAAAGAACTACAGACCTATCTTCCTAATGAACATTGATGCAAAAATCCTCAATAAGATACTAGCAAACAGAATGCAGCAAATCATTAAGAAGATTATACACCATGACCAAGGTAGGATTCATACTAGGGGTGCAGGGATGGTTCAACATATGCAAATAAATAAATGTAATACACCATATTAACAGAGTCAAAGACAAAAACCATATGATCATCTCAATAGATGTAGAAAAAGCATTTCACAAAGTCCAATACCCATGATAAAAACCCTACAGAAAATTGGAGTAGATGTTCTTTATCTCAATCTGATAAAAGCATTTATGACAAACTAACAGCCAACACCATACTAAATGGAGAAAAACTTGAAGCTTTCACTCTAAAAACAGGATCAAGACAAGGATGTCCACTGTCACCACTCTTATTCAATATAGTTCTGGAAACATTAGCCAGAGCAATTAGACAAGAGAAAGAAATAAAAGAAATAGGGACAGGAAGGGAAGAAGTTAAATTATCACTATTTGCAGATGATATGATACTCTACATAGAAGACTCCCAAAACTCCATCAAGACTTCTAGATTTAATAACCAAATTCAGTCACGTAGCTAGATACAAAGTCAATACTCAAAAATCAATACCTTCCTGTACATGAACAACAAACTCACTAAGTGAAAAATTAGGGAAACAATACCTTTCACAATAGCATCAAAAAAAATGAAATACCTAGAAATCAATCTAATGAAGGAAGCAAAAGAAGCAAAAGACCTCTACATTAAAAACTACAGTATTCTGAAAAAGGAGATTGAATAAGATATCAAAAAATGGAAAGATATTGTTCTTGGATAGGAAGAACCAATATAGTGAAAATGGCCATACTTCCAAAATTGTTATACAGATTTAATGCAATCTCAATAAAAATTCCAACAGCATATCTCACAAAATTAGAGAAAACAATACGAAAATTCATTTGGAACCAGAAGAGACTTAGAATAGCAAAGGCAATTCTGGGCAACAAAGGCAAAGCGGGGGCATCATAATCCCTGACTTGAAATTATACTACAAAGCTACTGTGATAAAAACAGCATGGTACTGGCAAAAAAACAGACCTGACAATCAGTGGAACATATTAGAAGATGCAGAAACAACTCCAGATATACTCAGCCTCCTTATATTTGACAAAGGAACCAAACAGAAGAAAGCCTCTTTAATAAATGATACTTGAAAAACTGACTTTTCATAGGCTGAAGATTA